TCCCTTTGTTTATCTGTATTGTATATCTTACACGGTCGTATATTCTCATACTTATTGAATAAGAAGATAACTTATCACACAAATTTATCCTATCTTAAGTCATGTAAATGTATAATTTTATTTCACAGAGATATCGCGCAAAGTTGAAGGACAATTTTCTCGGACTTTATGCGTCATACTACAAATAATAATTGGAGATAAGTGCGAACTGATGAGAGTAGATAAATGGTGACCGGAGATAAATGTGAACTTGCACGCACGCACGAAGTGATGTAATCTGTTATTAAAAAAACGCGAAAACGCGAAAAACGTGAAAAACATTCCTCTAGAACTGTAGTACGTTAAAGAGTCTACAACACATTTGAATAAAGAGAACTCTTATTTTGTTGAAACGCACGTGCGTATATAAAACGGTATGTGTACATATCTCGGCGCGAGGTATACGATCGAGCGTGTTAATCATTAACCTTCCATTGCCCTCGTTCAGCAAATTAACGTTAGTGCTTTCTTATGAGTGCCGCGCCGCATCTGTATGTGTGTCACTGTGTGATTTAGTTACGGTGTTGCCACATATTTTTCTCAAATCAACACGGTCTTGTAACAAGAGGATGAGACATCGATCGGTACATACATCAATCTGTCACGGTAAAGCCCCTTGCACAATAGGCGATAGCGATAGCGATAGCGATAGAAACTTAGGTTTAGCAACAGCGCGAGTCGCGTTGACTGTACGAATTTGTTCTCGCCATGAGCTCCGCACTCAGAAAGTCTAAATATTGTTCTAACGAAATTTTAGAAAATAACCATACAAATATAGTCTAGAAAATTGTAAGTGAAAAGTCAGAAAGTTTCAGGGTCAACTTCTATGCAATTAAAAAAAAAAAAAACGATCTGAGTGTTCGCCTCATACGAGAGCAATGGAGGGTTAATAAATAGAAGTACAGGAACACCATAAAATAATTCTAAGAAATTTACTGAATTACTAGGCAAGCTACAGATTATTTGCAATAGACCGCCGCAATTTTTTTTTCGTAGAACACAAACGAGATAAGATAATCTCACACATATATATACGTGCCTTAATCTTTCAACGTGAGTAATTTTTCGTTTCGTCTTTCCAAGGTGTGACACTGAAGCTAATAATAAGTAGTTAAAAAAAAAACAAGTTTTCCTCTCTTGCCACTCTTGCCTTATCATCTTTCGGAGAACGGATTTATATCAACAATTATTCACCAAACCACATCCGCATCGCTACAAGGAATTTCTTCTGCGATTGAAACCGGTTATTTTATACGATCTTCACTAATCAAGGCTGAAATATTATTCGTACGAAACATTATAAAGTAACAGTAGACATACGCAAAATACAACAAATATAAACATTTCGTTAAACGCCTATATGTATATATAATACAAGGTTTAATAAGTTATGCTAAGACATTTGCAACAATTATGCGAAGCATTACTTGGAAACTTCTTCTGACGAATTTATGGATACGATATAACGTGTTGAATGTGTGACGAAGGGCAAGACCATATTTAATACGGCAATATCACTCAACACTATAATAAGAAATGCAGATGGCATATTTTCAGATGAACATTGCCAAAACAATGAAGAAGAAATCATATCTTTTCGTCGGTCTAATTGTGACAACAATCTTGACAACATGCCTCTACTTCTCAGTCACTTACAGCGATTTTCAAATTCACGATATATTTCTCAAGATGATTCGTGAAGAAAATTATTTTGCGGATGTAACCGTTAAGGCGGAAACATATAAAGAAAAGGGCATAAAAACTATCCTTCTTTGGAACACGTTATTCGGTGACAGAAATTTTTACTTCGGGACAGGCGACATTTTCCGCGATTGTCCTTTCAATAAGTGCAAAGTGTTTAACGATCGGGACTATTTGAATGTAGAAGATTACGACGCGATTCTCTTTCACGGTAACGAGATGGATGCGTACGAAGTGCCACAGAAGAGGAAGACAACGCAATTTTATGTGTACGTTAATTTGGAAAGTCCAGCCAATCGTGAAGTATATCCAAAATATCGAAAGAGCTACTTCAACCTCACGATGACATACCGGCTCGACAGTGACATACCCTGGACTTATGATATCATAGAAGATGTAAAAAGCGGCAAATTCGTCGCACCTTCAAGGAATGCTGATTGGAACGTTTTTCAAAATAATACAAGTAATATATTTTTTCTTCTTTATCCTTTTCTTTATTTAATTGCCATTTTTATAATCAATAAAAATACTCAAATTAAATATTGGATAAATATGTTACTCAATATACCAAGATTTTCATTCTTTATATTATAAGAAGACACAGTTTTAAAGTAAAAAATTAGAATACTTGATAGGAAAGTGACCACAATCTCTATTCTTTACTTATTGTTCTTATATTATCTCCCATTATTGTGTCTTTTATGCAAAATGTAATTAGTTTCCCTGTCACAAAACAAATGACCCTTCTGCGAACGTCCTAACGACAAATTGTCGGGTGGTGTATCATCTTCTCACCATGTTAAGTTACCTCGAGTACGCGAGAACTAATCAGTTTTCGCAGGTGCAGAGGACGCGGTGGACGAAATGCCATCTGCGATATTGGACACCGTCAGGGGTAAGAGCAAACCGGTAACTTGGTTTGTAAGCAATTGCGATGCCAAAAGTGGCCGGCAGAAGTATGTGGAGGAACTGTCGAAGCACATACGCGTCGACATTTATGGCAAGTGCGGCGAATTTAGCTGCGAGAGATATCGGAACTGTTTTAGCGACGTAATTGAGGCCGACTACTTTTTCTACCTGTCCTTCGAGAATTCCTTCTGCGACGATTACGTGACGGAAAAGCTGATGAATCCGCTCAGGTAATAACACGACTTCAGATAGCGGGAAATCGTTATCCGCAACCAGTGCACGAAAACAAAGACAATCTAACTAATGTCTGCGAGATATTTTCCCTGATGATATACGAGTCACCCTTATAAGTAACGTGTATGCCATCATGCATGGTTTAAGTCAAAATGTAAGACTGATATAAAATCATCTTATCGACTTACTTCTTGCAGTCTTTAGTTCGGCGCGCGTGGATTATTTAAATAAATTCTTTTATATATAAATGAAGATACATGTGAAGAAACGTTATTTTTAAAAATTTTTACTAATGAATTATTTCTGCCATTTTCTTTTTTTAATTGTCATTACCTCTTAAATCGGCTTTTACAGAGCAAGCATATTGCTGATGGTTTCTCAGAAAAAAAAGGTTGTTAACACTTGAACGATATTTTCCAATTTTCATTATTATTATTCATATTCACATGCAATCAAATATAGGGCCTATTCAAATCGTATGCAGACTGACTGCTGCGTTACGCATTGACGTTTAATGTAAATGCAATAAGCATAAAGTTGACATCAAAATTCCACGATTGTCTGGAATTGAAATATTATCGGCGCGATGATAGCATCGATACGGCAATACGTCAATAATTGAATCGAATTTATTGCTATTTGCGGATTGTGCGAAATACAAATGGTAACGATAACGCCACGCGCGGTGTTTCTTTCCCGTTTTTATTCACACGAGCTGCTCGACAGAGCACAATGCGGACAATGCTTTGGTGATCGTTAAATATGTTCGTTTATCATTCGATATTACGAATAATCCAATTTTACGGGCATACACCCAATATCTGATGACAAATATATTTTGATATAAACTATATGTCAAAAGACATCTACCATTGTCATTTATGTCAATGCGTGCAGTCAAGATTGCGTACTGCGTAATTATTACATATATACAATTAAAGTAAAAAAAATTACTAGTGATTTTCAATAAATGTCTAAAAGCACATCAAGAACCTATTTTTTAATTATCTTTATTATTGTCTACCAAAAGAGCTAATAATTTATTCAGGTCAGAGGCAGCATCTTTTTTTTAAATAATGCTTAACCCACGTGTTTGTACAAAAGTACATAATATTAAAAAAAAAACTAGCTATTCTGTATTGTTTATTTCAATTTTGCTTGATTCATCGGTTTATTTATCGTATCTTTTTTTATGTATAGTTCCGCAGGTGGAATAAGCGAAACTGCAAGAAAATATTATCAATCAATAACGGGCTTTTCTTATCAATATTCTTGCAGGTATAATGTCGTCCCGGTGGTTTACGGAGGCGCCAACTACAGTCAGTTCGCACCGCCAAATTCCTACGTAAATGCCTTGGACTTCGACAGTCCGAAGGAGCTCGCCGCGTATTTGAAATATCTCACTCAGGATCTGCAGCGATATCAAAGCTTCCTACAATGGAAGAAATATTATCGAGTTAATGTCGGGACGAAGCAGGCCGTTTGTAACCTTTGCGAAGTGCTGCATAAGCAGAAAAAGCCGAAAATTTATTCGGATTTAACGGATTGGTACGCCAAAGATAAATGTTCTATTCAAGCGCTTCTAGATAATAACGTTGATGGATACGCAACGAAACGTACGCTAATGAGTCGCGATCAGAAACAGGAGCCGGATTATAAAACTGGGACACAGAAACATTAATAATCTATTCAAATAAAATGTAAAACGAAAATACCCAGAGCTCGATTAAACCTAAATAAAAATTGACGTAGTAATCCTAGTAATATTTTAAAAAATGTATATAATGTAAATAGTAATCGCACATTCGTTATTTTTAGCTTCAACTTCTGCGTTATTGATCAATCGTGATATAAATACTTTCCGAATCCATCTTACTTCCAAATTGAATATGACTTTACGAAGATATATCAGTATTATTAAATATGATTCATCTTAGTTTTGGAAACTTTGATTTGGATACGTAATTAAGCCTATACGTGATAAGATATTCCTCCGTCATCTGTTATCCAATTATGCATATTGAGCGTTTCTCAAGTCTATAACGAGGTGAACGACGATGCAGCTTCGACGTTTGACTTATACATCGATGATGGGTCATTAGGCCGAGAATATGTAGTACATCGATATATTCACTACTCGCTTGATTAGCGAAGATCAAAGCGGCCAAGCTCCATCGCTCTAACACTACTATACTCGCAGAGTTTGAGGAATATAGATATGTGATTTACTGATCGCTTTATAAAGAGAACCGGTTTTTCGGAAATTGTATATTATTATCCAAATTCCAGCGATAATTAATAGACTGAACGAATGTAAAGCACATATTTGTATATATAAAAGACTGACATTAGTCTTCTTATCTCATCAAGAAACTATCTATGAGGAAAAAATGTTCTCGTGATATTTTCTTCAATATTTTTTAAAATATTACATTTACATGGTTAGTAAATATAAGCATTTATGAAACGATCTTCGTCCGCCCGAATAGTTAGTGAAGAATTAAATGTTATAGCAAATTAAAATAATAGTTTATTTATCAGTATTATTCAATCTAATCGTTCAATTCCATTCTGTTCTCATTTTGTTTTAAAAAGATATATCCAACTAGTCTATAAAATAGCGTAAATATAATAATAAAAGACCATTGTGTTCATACATATATTGCACATACAAATAAAATAAATATACGTTGACATAATCACAGTGGTAGTTAACACATTTAACCAATAATAACTGTTAATGCGTTATCACAGTTTTGCATGAGTGTGTGTAGGTATATACGAGATTTATGCTACACATTTTTTGCGTTTAACGTAGTCTTGTTATATTTTCTCTCTTTTTAAAGCTTTTCTATACTTTTAGCCAAATTTTAATTGTATATTTTAAAAATTAGCAAATTCAGACTACTAACTAATATAAACGCTTTATAATTATTAATTTTGGCAAACGTAAAGTTGCAAAAGTAAATCTGCGAATAATACAAATGTACATGCAAATGGAAAATTACGCTAATTGTAAGTAACGCCTATGCATACCTATTATTGCGTAAATGTTATATAATGTTTATAACAATAATATCAGATTTTTCGTTCAAATTAACAGAGAGAAAACCTTAATTAGATAATTATATGTATATTTGATATATTATTTTCGTAAACTAACATTTATCAAACTTTTTACTGTTAATGTTATCTCAGTATTCTTCATTAATTGCGTTTTATTATAAATAATCTGTACATAGTTACGTTGTAATAAATACAAATATATTTTTCTTATATTTAAATTTTTCTTGTAGTCATTATCCCATTAATTACTTAAGAAAAACATAGAATTTTCTGCAATTAAAGAAAAATTATTTTCAATAATTTTTCAATCGATTCCTTCACCGCTGATTAACGATTTATTCATAAAAATGCGAATTCAGAAATAAACTGTTATTCTGATCTAGTAGTAATAGTCTCGATAGGCAAACATGCAATAGGTAGGTATATGTTATCGCGTCAAGTCATAAGATGTTTAAATAAATAACGACGATCACTACATATATGTAATTAATTCAAAATGTTTCAGCTTCGAGATTTTTCACATGTCGACATAAAAACATTGCCATTATAAAGACATTTTTTAGCATTCCAGTTTTTTAGTTTTAAAAACAAACTTTGACCAATATTCCTTCACTTATTAATCCATGGTCATAAATATCTTGATTGGTTACTTGACAATTTGTATGAAAAATGGTCTATATTCGGAAAAATAAAAAAACTTTACTGAGAAATAACGAGATTAAACAGGCTCACTCTTGATGTTCGAGTTTCTTTCTTCAACTAATGAAAAAAGCTTCTATTCTTAGTTTCTGTCTTCATGTATAGCGTCCAATTAAATTGCGATCTATTATATCCAATTTCATTCTTCCTGTTATAGTTACTTTGACACTAAAATTTCAACAATAATTCTTCAGCGATATATTGTACATACAGTAAAATAGCACGTTTGTATCATTATCAAATTTTTAATGCGAATAGTATTAAAATGTATTCTGTAAAATTAGATAATTCATCTCGATAAAAAAAACGTATCGTATATCTAGGTTTTATTTCAAAACGTCATTTTATTATCATTTTACTGTTTTATTATTTTATTTTTATTACGGCAAGTTGATATACCCGCTTTACGGTTTATAATATTCTCTTTCCGTGATCATTATATAAAAGCACATATTATTTTACACATAAATCTGCGCACGGATATCAAAGCACGATCCCATGTGTTAAAGGGAAAAGGAGCGAAAACTCCTCATAAAATTCTATCAGACAAGCGACATGCCTCCGGCGAGTCATTTCAGACTTATGCGGGGGACCTCTAACGAAGGAAACTTCACTTCCTTTGTACGTCCGCCTGCACGATAAGCAATCGAATTGCAATAAACCGGACCAAGATGTCGCAAGTTACCGAGATAGATATTACCAATGATAGTTGTGTTAAAGTTACGAGAATCGCGAAAGTACTACGTACAAGTACACCGCACCGCGCTCGCTAGACGGTTACACGCCACGGCACCAGCTCTCGCATTGTAAAAGTACTACTTGGGTACAACTTCGAGCGTCGAACAACCATTTCAGTAGGTTGTAACAACCTCAAAGTCCTTCTCAAAGTTCATCGTGGCGGCAATTTCTTGTCGCTAGTACCGTAAACTCGTAGTCTGTTCCTCTCGCACTCTCTCTTTCATCGTACATTTATACAGTGTAGTGAGTATATAGGTACGATAATCTTCATCAGATCACGCGATACACACGATCAAATTCGACCGTTCAAATCAGACATCGAAACCAATAGAATTTCGTAGTATCAGATTCAGTATAGAGTTAGGTATATACTACAGACGTGTGAAAATGATTTGTATGCTTATCCGAGTCGATGAAAATGCAACACTCAATACAAGATGCATATAGCAATTTCTATTTAATTTAGGCTGGATTTATGTGCACGATATTAGGAATAGAAATGAGATGAGATTGTTCCCCGTTATGCGCACAACCGCAGTGATTGATTGATTGTATGCAAACTTCACCGTTATTTGACAATGCACATCATACGGCTATTCGGCGCATAGTACGATATGCATCATAGGAAAATAGAAATTGCTGCATTATGTCGGACCGTAAAATGCGCGTCAGCAATGATCAAACGTCGGATAATGTTTGGCTTCCGATATTGCTTATTAGAACGAACAAGCAGTCGGGATAAAGAGCACATCACGTGATTAAATTTCATATTGGCATATTTTGCACAATATTTGCACAAAGTAATGAAATACTCAACGCTTTGTCCTTCTCATTGCGTGTTTTGACTTTTTTAAAATTATTGCATAAATAGTTTAAACGCAGCTTTGTAGGTTACAGCCGTGGCACGCAAATATATTTGAATTATTATACTGCCTCATATACACCATTTCTCGTGCTTCCGCTACGAAGCGAATAGATTTTACGATAATGTATGTCATCTCATTTAACATTTATTTGTGTGATTGATCCGGAATTCCTTCATTTATTTTCCTAAATAATCCATTTATCCAGTATTATATTGTATGAGTATTTTATAACGTATACTTATACGGTTTCTTGATATGTACTCTTGCAAATATTGCAAATTTGGTTTGTAAACGAAATCATCAATTCGAAATGAAAAGGTTTAGTTGATACATATTAATGCGTAATCTGAATCTTGCCATATAATTTCGAATGAAAAGTACGCATTGCAAATTTGCATTGGGTGGTTATTATTATACAAATTTCGGATGCAATCGTCAATTTTATTCGCATTAATATATTACGGGATAAAACGCCAGCAATTAAGTGAGTGCGATGATACGGCCGCAATAATTATGGATTGCAGTCACTTTATGCAGCTCGCTCGTGTGTAACATAATTAGGATATAACGGCAAAAAGCGGGCAAAAACGGCACATCATTGATTAATGATGGCTATTCGATCGCGTTATATTTATTTACAGATCATCGAGAAGACAATACATCATCACGTTGTGATTTAATGGTATACGTCTATACATAACGCTATTCCCCAAACACGTTATTTCATTTGACGGTATCACTCATCATTAATATATATTCACACAAAATCCTACCGTTCGACAGATAACAATGTTATAATGTGATAAATTTTTATGCAATTTTGTGATATACAAGCAGTCTTAATTCGCCTGTCTAGATTTCGAGACTAAAGTAAACATTGCATTAATTATTGTCTTTAATAGAACAAAAACGGCGACATATAGTTGGCAAATAACCTCGTTTTCAATCCAAATATAGGGTAAAGTGCATATTTCAGATCAGATCCTAATTCGGATCAGCAAAAAAATGCCTGTCTAGCCAACTGTATCTATCATATGTGGATTTTTTTCACTGATTATCTAGAGCTATAAGGGATAGCCATAGACGATAGCGAAAAAAAATCCACATGACAAATACAGTCGGCATTTCAAATTTGCACTGATCCGCATTAGAATCTGATCCGAAATATGCTCTTTATCCTAATTTAAACATGTTAAACGATAACAATACACACGGACGAGTCGTTTTCGCGAGCAAAACTTTGTTTCCGATCTTTCATGACGAAGAAATTCCGTCGCGCAATCCCCGGCAAAGTGTTAACGCCGTGAGCGATAAATACGAGGGTTGAAAGTGGAAAAGCAACGGCTCGAATCGAGTCGGATGGATATAAAAAGAAATTACTGGCCTCTCAGACGCACTTGGACCTCCGAACGGTACTGGCGCTCGCGCTCCCTTCCTCCGCTTCCTCTCTTTCGTCCTTAGTTTCCATCTTGCTTTCTTTCTTGCGCGATACCCTCTCGCCATTTCTCTGTACCCATTCTCTCTTTTATACCGAGTTTATCTTCTACCTCTTCCTTCTTTTCCCGAGACTGCTCCGGCTATTTCCCGATTCTGCCGCTCCACACTCGTAACCTGAATTATAGATGTCCTTCACAGTCTGCCGCAACTCACAGTTCTGCCTCCGTTTCCGGTTCAACAAAGATAGCGTGTTTGAGACATTATTTGCATATATGAGCGCGAACGAAAATACTGTCAAAAATTTGATTTTTTTCAGTCGAATCCTATTCATAGAATTCGAATATAATTATTGAGGAGCAGTGCTATCTATACTATACCTTACATCGCTTGAACTATCGATCAAATATTTTATCCTATTTAGATCTATATGTAGAATCGATTAGAGCAGTTATCGGAACATTCTTTAACAAAATATCCAATTATACATATATTATAACTTTAAAAATAATATCGATATAATATTTATACAGATATTATCAAATTATGAAAAAATATTGATTACATCAATTTAATATTAAAAGAAAATGTCTCAATTTCCACTATTTTAATATGTATGTTAATATAGCAAATATAATGCAAATGTCGAAAAGATCGTTAGACCTATATATAATATGTTATATAACAGTACAAATATATCATAAGTTATTCGTTAGACCTTGTACCTAAAGATTGGTTCAACATAATGACACATTGTTAAAAAGGTGCTTGAAAATACGATACGATAAGAATAGCCACGTAAGTATTTACTAAAGATAAATCTTATCTAAACTTCCGTTTGCTGAACGAAGACGTGAGGCAAAATTCAGCGATAAGAGCAACGGAACCTTCTATACGACTCAGTGCGATAATCCCCGCATACATCGGAGAATTGATTCAAAATTAAACAGTAGGAGAAACGGGATACGCGCGTATCCATTGCAATTAATCAAATTATTAAGCCTGGCTGGATTGCAACCGGCACGCGTTGCTGTTTCGCGAATATTCGAGTCTAACGATAACGATATAAACGCGTAATGGGTCTCCCATGGTGCATATATGTGAGCGCGAGTCCGAAATTATTTCTCAGGATGCAAATTGATTTGGTATATCTCACTGCTGATAGTGCTGATGGCATTGCATAATTATCCTTATTGTCGTCGAATCCTACGAAACTATAAATGTTGTTGCATTGGATGTTACTATAAATAAACAGTTAAATTTACATCGATATGGATGAAAATGGCGCTGAAACAAGCTTGGCGCGCTAAAGCCAGCGGGGAAGGCATCTTAAAAACATTGTTAACTTCAATATTGCGTCGGTGCAGATAAACTGCAACATCTTCAGTCAGGCATTATGCCGCGCACGAAGACGGGGCAGTAAACTTTA